GGTTATCTCCAAAAAAATCCCAATGCCAACCCTTATATTCTCGGTTACACTATCTCCCAGACTTTAGCGGTACAAAAACCCATATCTTTCGAACGCCCCTTTCTAGCAGACATGTGACCATTGAATACCACGTTTACAGTACTCCCAGAAGTGACAAAGTTTACAGTGTATATGTTCACATATTGGTCATCTCCTTGGTTCGCATTGCTGATCGTAAAGGAGAGCCCGAATAGGCCAAAAGATGCCGCGTGCTCGTAATCGGGAGGCGGGTTGACTTGTATGCGGCCTTTCTTCATGGCATCATAAGATGCGACTGAAATCTTCTTATAAATGGGCTTCAGGATCAGAGTCTCGATGAGAGAAAAGGTGCTATAGACCATCTTGGCGTCGCATTGCTCCGTCGGGGTGATCCAGTTCGTATCAAAGATGCCTGATAATGTAAGAACTTTGTCTAAACATGATAAAAGATACCCTTACCTGGACTCGAGTGACTACCGGGCCCATGGTTCGCTTGTCCACCCTTGGTGTTCAGGATAAAATTGATGGTGCTGAGTTGAGGGGTCGTTGGATCCTTGAACACGGTGAATGTTTGACCAATCGGCTTTAATGAGTCGGGGACATTTGCGTCGGGGTCAACCGTAGTTGGCGTCTGGGAGATAGTGTAACCGAGAATATAAGGGTTGGCATTGGGATTTTTTTGGAGATAACCTAAATAGGCACGCATGAAGTAGACAAATTCTTGGTTTTCTGAGGTACCAATCGCATGATTACCAGTCGTCGTTTTGATTGGATCGAATCCCATGAGATCGACACTGTTGAAATCGAGGAACAGTTGTGAGACGGCAAACCCGCTACTATTGAAGTGATCAAGGTGCTTAGATACGATCTTGGGTACAGCCTTCCCCGCGACAAGGTCATCATGAGAGATTCCTGCAAAGTTCAAATTGATGGCGATGGAGTAAACCCAACCCGACATGTCGTTAGCAGAAAGCTCAGATACGAAGGGAATTTGAAGCCAAGCAGTTCCACTCTTGAAGACGAGATTCAAGTGAGCAGTGGTGCCGCTCTCTTCCACCGAGATGGTAGGCATGTAGTTTGCATTCAGGAGTGGTAGCGTTGGATTTCCTTTGCAGTCCTTTGGAACCTCGTCGAATGAATTGTAAAATATGGGAGTGGGCGTGTTGTTCACAACCTTCATCCCAATGATCATCCTAAAAACCATGTCAAATCCGGCTCACGTCGAGGTATCACGGAACGTACCGAGTTTTGATTATACCGACGTCAGGATGGGCGAGAAGTGCCAGTTGATCATTGATGGACTTTTGGGTGATGGCAACCACCATGTCGTAACCAGAGGTGAAAATATCCGTGT